GTTGGCTGCACTCACCTTAACATGCATAAATGGGGGTGCTGCTGGGGGCCAAATAATACAATACACAAGATCCAGCGCACTCACCTATCCACTAAACAGCAACTTCAATGTTGAAAGATTTTATTTGTTTTTTTAAAAACACCTAATCTAGGCAAAAATAATGGGGGTTTAGTTACATTATATGATCATACAGTGCATAAGCATATATATTAAACACAAGATCCAGCGCACTCATCCGTCCACTAAACGGCAACTTCAATGTTGAAAGATTTTATTCGTTTTTTTAAGTTTTTTTAAAAACACCTAATCTAGGCAAAAATAATGGGGGTTCCCTCCTGTCAGCCCCTCTCCTCAGGTTGCGCCCGGGCGGTGCGGTCCGCCCTCATGGACACACCACCCGGGCAAAGCTGCAGCCGCCCGAGGCTCTCTACAGAGCACTTGGGCGGCTGCAGCATGGGGGGGGCGGCGGGGCTGGTCATGGCACCCCTGGTGGCACCCGGGGCGGACCGCCCCCCCCTTAGTACGCCACTGTATATATATATATATATATATATATTAATAGTAAAATACACCTAGACAGTGTACGAGTGTGTATGTATATGTGTATATATATACTTAGATCATATATATATATATTATATATATATATGATCTAAGTATATAATTTTTTTTACACTTTTTTTTTACACTTTATTTTATTTTATTTCCAGCCAGCAGGGGGACTGTCATTTCAGGCAGCCCCCCTGCTGGCAATGCAGCAGCCAGCTATCCCGGCCATGTGATTGTGAGGTCCTCGCAAGGACCTCACTGTCACATGGCCGGGGGGGGGCTGCAGGACGGAGGATCCACCGCGGGGGGCTCCCTGGGTACTATTACGCCCGGTGGCATTTAGATACCTTAAAAAATAGGGCGTAATGGTACACCCTCCGGTCTTAAGGGGTTAACAAACAGGAGTAGTTAACCCTTAAGAAACTACAAAAAGATAACAGCAGGGTAATAAAACCAGCAGACAAAGGAGGAGGGATAGTGGTTATGGACACTAAAAAATATATCCTGGAAGGCCTGAGATTAGTGGAGGACCCCAATACATATTATAAACTACCTGGGTACCCAACTAAAGACATAAGTAAAACATTTGAGGAACTATTTTTAAAAGGTAGAGTAATGGAAATAATACATGTAAATGAGTTTAAATATTTAAGTAGTAATAAGCCAAAAATTCCAGTGGTATACCATCTCCCCAAAATACATAAGGATCTTTCAAATCCACCGGGTAGACCGATAGTTTCCGGGATTGACTCAGTCTCAAGTAGACTTTCCGAATACTTAGATCGGTGTCTACAACTGGTGGTGAAGGATACACCTAGCTATCTTAAGGATAGACTTAATGTAATTCAGGTTTTAAAAAGTATAGAATGGGAACCTCATTTTATTCTAGGTACCGCTGACGTAGGGTCTTTGTACTCCATTATATCTCACCAAAAAATGTTAGAAGCAACTCAATTTTTTCTAAAACAAGCACAGATTTATCCGGAGGAACAGATTCAGTTTATCCTCCAAGGGATACAACTCATTTTAGAAAACAATTATTTTTGGTTTCATAACGATTTTTATCTACAGAAGTGTGGTACCGCTATGGGGACAAGGTTCGCGCCCAGCTATGCCAATTTATTTATGGCTTTTTGGGAACAGAGCTATATTTTGGAAGATGCCAGCTGCAGCATGAACCTTGTTACCTATAAGTGATACATTGATGATATTTTATTTGTCTGGAGAGGAACGGTAGAGGAATTACAAAATTTTCTTTGCTTTTTGAATAACAACGGGGAATAGTCCTGACCACGGAATACAGTAAAGAAAAAGTAAACTTTTTAGATTTGACCATTTATGTAGAAAATAATACACTAAAAACTAAAACTTTCTTTAAAAAAGTTGATGTCAACAATTATATCAGTCTTAAAGGTTGCCACTTTTCCCCCTGGCAAAAGAATATCCCAAGATCACAATTTCTAAGAGTTCGGAGAAACTGCACAGATGTAGATATTTTTAAAAGCCAAGAACATAGAATTAAAAATCAATTTATAGAAAAGGGTTACGAAAATTCAGTATTACATAATACTATGAGAGAAGTGGAAGAGATAAGACTGTAAATCCCTTCTGGAATATAAACCTAAGAAGGAAGAAAATTTTAAAGCGATTTCTTTTATCTGTGGCTTTAATCAAAACAATAACCAGATTAGAAAAACAATAAGAAAATATTGGCCTATCTTAAAGAATGACCCTAAGATACACAGTATATTACCAGATCAGCCCAGAATTATATATAGAGGTGCACCAAATTTAAAATGTTTTTTAACTAATAACCACATAAAAGAAAACAAGTCGACCCCCTTTTTTCAAAAGTAAGGTTTTTTTTGGGTGTGGACAATGTCTGGCTTGCAGGAATACTAATAGTAGCAAGAGACATCTCACATCCTTTGAAGATCCCCAAAGCAAAAAAGAATATAGATTGAGAACAATGACTACATGTTTTTCTAAAAGGGTTATCTATATCCTACAATGTCCATGTGGTCTGTACTATGTGGGGAGAACTAAACGCCCCCTACAGGTACGTATCAATGAACATGTGAGAAATATTAAAAAAGGATATGATAAGCATAATGTGTCCCTTCATTTTAAAATATTACACAATAGTGATCCTAGTCTTTTAAAATTTTTGCCATTCAAAATGTGGAGATAAATTGGAGAGGGGAAGATGAAATTAAAAACTTGTCCAAATAGAAATGAAATGGATTTTTAACCTCAATACCCTTGCCCCTTTTGGTCTTAATGTTGATTTTGAGTTGTGCCATTTTTTATAAACCTATTTTTATCCAACAACTTTGCACAACTCATCTTTAACATTTAATTCTTAATTTTTAATTCCCAATTTGAAAAAAAAACTTACATTGTTTGCATTTCATATATTTTTTTTTTATTCACATATTTTCCACAAAAGATTATCAGACAATACTACTCTATATATCTCATTTTTTTTATTTCACATGCATACCCCGTGTGTACTGTAAGGGGTAAGTGCATAATAAATTATCACTTTTAAGCGCTGCACTTATATCAAGTCGTGTTGAAGTTTATTGCACTCTGATTCACTGCTTGGTATCTTGTTTTTTATGGTTTCATATTTAATAAAGCAATTTTCGGGGACATTTTAATACTTATTCTTAATGCTTTCTTGATGAACTCAAAAGCTCATGACCATAGAGTTCGTACTTTTTACAATCCCAAAAATGTGCATGTATGAACCAATTTATTCCTCACATCTCAAGCATTTATTATTTCTCCAACACAGCTTGATGTAAGTGCAGTGCTAAACAGTGTTATAAATTGTGATACACTTACCACTTACAGTATATATGGGGTGTACATGTGAAAATAAACAGAAAAAAACGTATATAGAGTAGTATTGTCTGATACGTTTAAGAATATATCAAATAAATAAGAAGAATAGGACTCACATTTAAAAGAGCCTTTTGTAAGGATATAGCCTCTAAACACAACAGCGTCTTTGCCTTTAAAGGTAGGCAATAATACCTTAAAAACAGGAGCGTTCTTCCTTTCTTTTCGTTGGTGAATTATATCTCCAAATGAAACAGAGAAAGAGATTCCTTGGTGCAGATAGTATGAGCAAACAGTATACAACCAGATATCGTATCAGACAATACTACTCTATATACGTTTTTTTCTGTTTATTTTCACATGTACACCCCATACATACTGTAAGGGGTAAGTGTATCACAATTTATAACACTGTTTAGCGCTGCACTTACATCAAGCTGTGTTTGAGGTCTTTTTGCACTTTGTTCACTACTTGATATTGTTTTTTTGTATGTTGTATAATTATAGTGTCTCGTGGAGTATTCACTAAAAAGTGCACATAGCAGCTATATTCTATAATTCACACTAAACAATATTCTAAGCGCCTTTTTATCCACATCCACTTCTGTGTTTTTTTCTTGATTTATTATTTCTGTTTGAAAACATTTTAGCTACTTTTGTTGGAACAAAATACCATCTATTGATACACTTAAAGTGCATTTCTATCAGTGAGAGGTCATGGATATTTTTAGTAAAATTAGAAAATGCTGAATTCCATGACTGCTTATCAAGAGTCTGAGACAGATTTCTTTCCCATATGGTGATATTTCTGTTTCTCTGTATTTTATTTAAAGGGAAACTATAGTCACCATAACAACTACAGTTTATTTAATTTTTTTCTGGTGAGAAGAATCATTACCTTCAGGTTTTTTGCTGTAAACACTGTCTTTTCAGAGAAAATGCAGTGTTTACATTACAGCCTAGTGATAACTTCACTGGCCACTACTCAGATGGCTGTTAGAGATCCTTCCTGGGTCATGGCTGCGTAAAATGCATCCAAACATTCAGTGTCTCCTCCCTCTGCATGCAGACACTGAACTTTCCTCATAGAGATTCATTGATTCAATTCATCTCTAAGAGAAGATGCTGATTGGCCAGGGCTGTGTTTGAAGCATGCTGGCTCTGCCCCTGATCTGACTCTTTGTCAGTCTCAGCCAATCCTATGGAGAAGCACTGTGATTGGATCAGGCTACCACTTCTGATGATGTCAGGAGACTGCTTATTTTGCTGAGTCAAACAGCATGCAGATCTACAGCTTCAGGCTACAGTAAGATTTTGCTATATTTATAGAGGCATGAGGGGCCCAGAGGGGCTAGATGGTGGTTTTAACAGTATAGGGTCAGGAATACATGTTTGTGTGACATGTCATGATTCCCTTTTATTACAGAAGTTTGGTCCTTAAGGGGTTAAAGTACTATTTGCTATGATTTGGTACACTATACTATGCCTGCTCTTCTCCTGTTTTCTAACTTTAAATTTTCCATATTGCTTTCGAATTCTTGAATTTTAAGACATTTCTGGAAAGTTTTTTTTTGTTGTTGTTTTTTTTTTTTTAAAAAGCTGTGCCACAATGATAATATATGGTTAGGAATCATGCAACTATATTTCCTTGTCTGTGTGTTTTTCTTGTTCTCTAAGTTCCATATTAATGTGGATAGATCATTGCACTCTCCATTTTTTGCCTCTAAATGATACCAATCTTCATTTTAAAAGCTGAAAACCTTGTTTCATGGTATAAAATACTGGCATCATGATATTAAAGGCCACCCGTTTTGGTGTCTTTTGACAATACATTAGCACTAATACGTGGTATTTTCCCTTTCCACACAAAATTCCTGAAGCTTTGTTTAATTAATTCTAGCCATGGGGTTGGACAGCTGAATGGTAACATCCTGAATTAATACACCCACTTAGGTAAAACATAAGCCTTTATGATGTTGATTCTCCCAAACCACGATAGCTCTTTGTTACTCCATTTTTTTTTTACATTGTATTCATAAATCTAAAATTATCAAGAAAATTGCATTAAACTATTTTTTTTATATCTGTTTGAATAACACCTAAATGTGAAAAAAGATTTTTTGAAAAATAAAAACTATAGCTGTTACTGAAATCAAAAGAAGTATAGGGAGCAGGATGCAGCGGCTACCCTCACTTCACTAAAGGAAAAGGGGGTACCACGGCACCAGACCTCCTATATAGAGGACAGTTGCCTAAACTGCTCTCCAACGTGGGGTAACCATCAACAACTTAGCACAAAGAAGTCACTTGGCCCCTGACGATGGAGTGAGCATGTTGGGCGTTTTGCTTTATCGTTCACTTTTTACACTTGGGTAGCATTATATAGTTTATTCGTTCTTTTTTTTTTTTTTAAATATAACTCTAGGGTTTGTTGGTTCAGGTAGGCACTAGCTCTGTGCAGTGCCGAGGTAACAAGGGACAGAGATATGTATAGACACTACATTGAGGTATTTCTTTAGACCTTCTGACGTTGGGTAGGTTGTACCTATATGCCTTATTTAGGTCTATGTCTTATTCTCAATACATTGATATACGGTGTGTCCCATTTGCAGCTCCTGACCTGGACCTTTCTCTACCCAGGAGTAGAATTGGATTTTGTACTATGAATTTAGTTCACTGCTTTTTCAGTCCATTCTTCCCTAGAGTTATAACTGTCATACAGTTTGGGTTTTCCCCATTTTAACTCTTGATATAATAGTTAGGATTATTTAATTTTTATCTTTTATAATTTCCTTTTCCATTTTTTTGTGCTCTCTCCCAGCGTGGTCCATCTGCTTCAGTGGACCGGACTGGGATTTTTTTTTTTTTTTTGTTCTTTGTGCTATAGCGGTTACTGATTCGCTCTCATTCTTTTTTAAAAAAATCTAAACTAAACAGTTGAGTAATCGTTTTGTTCATATTTATTTATAGCCAGAGATGTAACTAAATTTATTTCTTCAAACAAATTTTTTAATGATGTATCTGGATCAGTCAGAAAAATATAAACATCATCCGCATAGAAGCAGATTTTTGACTGTTGGATTAATTGGATAACCCTTTATTTCTTTATTGTTTCTGATTTTTGTGGCAAATGGTTCTATCAACATAATATATAAGATAGGGGATAGTGGGCAACCTTGTCTGGTTCTGTTTTTTTTTTGTTTTTTTGTTTTTAACTCGTACCAGTCTGAACATAGGTTCATATCCACCACCCTAGATGTTGGAACAGTTTTCTAAAGATTTTATTGCTGCAAGCATCCAATCGCTCAGACCATAACACTGTAGTGTGGCAAACATGTACTCCCATCCGACCCTGCCAAATGCTTTCTCTGCATCTTGCGACAGGTTAAGGAGGGGAGTACACATTCTTTCAACCAAAGCCAGAATGTTGATTATCCATCTTATGTTATTGCAGGATGCTATATTGTGGCTAACAAAGCATTCTTTAAGCGCTCAGCTAATATTGAGAATAGCTTTGTATCTGCATTTATTCATTAAATTGGATGGGAACTAGTAGAGCCTGATGGATTTCCCCCATTTTAAAATAGGTAAAATGTTTGCTTTTAACATCTTTTGAGGGAAGATACCTATAAGCCACAATCTCATTAAAATTAAAGAAATGGTGTGACATTTGATTTTTATATAGTTTGAAAAATAAATTGCTGAAGCTGTCTGGGCCTGGTGTTTTATTTTGTGCTAGTTTTTCAATTGCTCTTTCTACTTCTTCTATTGTTAGGTTTGATTTAATTAGCTTTTTTGCTTTAAATTAGAGGTGGACTTATATTTTTCAAATAGTTATCTTCATTTTAAGCTTTCTTAGGAAGATTATAGAGTTGTTTGTAAAATTCAAGAAACATTTGCTATATCTTTTGGTGTCATATAAACTTGATCTTTAACTTTTAGTAGAGTGCTTCTTGTCGTTAATAATTTTTTTATTATTTTGTCCACCCTATTGCCTTTATGGTAAAATTTCATTTTGATATGATCCAAATTTTTAATTGTTCTTTCTAGTTCTAACTGTTTAATTCTGTTTAGAGTTTCTTCAAGATTTTTTTGAGTTACGAGTGTAAAGTTGTTTTTGATTTCTTGAGAAATATAAAATTTTATATAAGATTAGATTTTAGTAAGATTAGATTTTAATTTAATGATGTGACCTCTGACAACTGATTTAACCCCTTAAGGACACATGACATGTGTGACATGTCATGATTCCCTTTTATTTTTCCAGACATTTGGTCGTTAAGGGGTTAAAGGTGAACTAAACTGTGGTGTGTGTAATTTCCTCTGTGGAATTTTCTCCAAAATTTTTTAAATTATATTACAAATATACTCTTTATTTGATTGATTCTTAAGAATATAGTCATCTAGACGCCAAGTAGTTCTGGGTGTTTTTTTTTTTCCAACGCATTATCTAGAATTACGAGACGGTGATCTGACCACACATTTTTTATGTATATCCTTTTGGTGTTACTGACTATTAACATGTTGCCTAAAAAAGATCACTTTGAGAAAGTGATAAATGTACTTTGGAAAAATGTGTAATTTTTTTTTTTTATTCGTGTGATAAACTCTCCAAATGTCTGCCAAATTTCCTCCGTTGATACATTTAACTCTATCGATTGTTTAATAGAATGTTTATCTATGGCATTAGAAGTATTTGTTTGTTTTAGCTAACTGATGGTCAGGAACACAGTTTAGATCACCTGCAATTAGAAGCTGGCTTATTTTAACTAGTTTAATTTCTTCTATAATCTTTTCAAAGAAAACTTACTGGAAAAAGTATCTCCTTGGATCATAAGTAACTTAAAACTACATTTTTATTCACATCAAGGAGTAGACACTTGCAATCCTCAAGAGGGATTTATAAACTTTTCATGGTGGTATGTTAGGTAAATGAGGAAAATGCAAGTCATCCAGGGTTTAACCATGAGGAATACATTTACTGAACACAGTAAGCACAGGCAGTTTTGTCAATCAGTTTCCAGATGAAAAGACCTGGCACACGGACACCAACAATACCTCAGATCCGAGCATTTTAATCATATATTTTTTATTTCTGCCCTCTCAATGGGTGTGGACATTAATAAATAATCTACTTCCCTAAGGGACTAAAGTGGTAGCCCAATCTATTCATCTACCACAACCCTCTACAAAATTATTTCAAAATTTGGCACATGCATAAAGGCCTGCAGATTGACAGGACTATTCACTAAACTCTGAATTTTTGCAAATTATCATAAACAAAACAATATATGAATGCTACATGTGAATTCACAAAAAAAAAAAAAAAATGTTGAGGCACCTGCTCTGAATATATTACTAATTAACAGAGAATCCTCAAGCTTGTTCAGTGGATCCCACCTCATGTTGTAATCGGTTTTCCATTTATCGTTTTATAAACTTATACATTTTAGTTTGCAGTAGGATTCATTAATCATTTGTATGGTTTCCTTAATTTTTTCTCAGGATGTCCATCCTTTTTTCTAGTTCAAAATACAAAAAACTTTGCTCATGACCAAAAAATAAATAAATAAAAACCATTTAATGCACATTACATTGTATTTTCTTTATGCTTGGCCATTATTAAAGCAGGATTTAAAAAAAAAAAAAAAAGAAGCCCATAAGGAGAGAACAAAAAGTGAAGAACAATTCGATAAAATGGCCCTGAAATAGTGAAGGGAAAAAAATATATGTATATATTGTGAACTTAGTATTTATTGAATTGATGGTAAGAAATACCAGAAAGCAGTGTAACAGCATGTTACTATTGCAGAAAAAAAAAAAAAGAGAAAGAAACAAAATAAACATATCTGTACATCTAAACTTAAGTTACATTCATTTTAACAGTTTGATAAAGGTCACAATGAAATCCTAGTAATTCAATGTTACAAAAATAATATTTAGGGGAAAAGTGGAACTACCCATAATGGTTACTGCTACAAATTGTGGAAAACATTAGCCTTTTCTTCTACCACACGCTTTGAAAATTCTAAGTTTGCCAAAAGCACATTAAAAACTTTAGATCATGTATATACAATCGTACATGTTTTTATATGGTTACCAATAATATTTATGCACCAAAACCCAGGAACAAGGATTAACCTTTTGAGTGCCTTGAATGACATAAGACTTTCTATATACATTACTGTAAAACTGTTGACACATTAGAATAAATCTAAGAAGTTTAAACTGAACATATCATTGATAATATGGCCTGTATCTAGCTTGATCTGGGTGATGTGGACCCGGAATAGGAGCTTGAGTAGGAGGTCCTTGCATTCGTGGAGGTGGTGGAGGCCCTCTTGGAGCAGGCCATATTCCTGGGCTCATCCCTCCAGGTTGTGTGAATGGTGGACTGAGAGTTCCTTGATCTTCATTAAATTGTGGCAAAGAATTAGGGTTGTAATGATGAGGAGGAGGAGCATTTACAGGTGGGCCACCATGTTGTGGAGGAGGTCCTGGAGGAGGATGATTCATGTATGGTGGCATTTGAGCAATTATGTGTCCAGGTGGTGGTGTAATTGGGGGTGGAGCAGATGTCATTGGTGGTGGAGGACCTTGGCTGTATACCATATGAGGCGTACCTGCTGCTTGAGGAGGGTGTTGCATTGGATGGCTGATTGGGGGTGGGGGTGGTGGAGGAGGTGCATAATGTTGCTGCGGAGGCATAATATGGTGGGGATGAGTTACTACTGGCTGTCCTGGATACTCAGGATGATGCAGAGTAGGACCAGGAGCTTGAGGAGTTTCTCTAGCACCAGAACTGGAATCATCCTGTATAGGTACAGTTATCAAATTACTGTGTTTTCTAGTATTAATCCGGAAAGCATCCTGATTAACAGAACGGGGTGGTGGGGGAGCCATGGAAATATCAGCAGGTGATCCCCGCATGTCTTCATGTTGCTGATTAAAATGTTCATGAGGTACATGCTGTATTGGAGGTGGGGGCATTAGTATGTGCTGTTTGGGGGGCATATGACTTAGGTGGTGCTTGTCTGGGGGCATTATGAAACGATCAGTAATTTCCGCAGGTGGTGGGGCCATTGGAGGATGAATTGGCTCTGGCTGCGGACGGGCAGCTGGCTTCCCAGCTCTCATGTGGCGATGATTTATGTGTGCTTGCAAGTCTCTTTGAGACAAATATGTTCTTTTACATCCTTGTACAATGCTGCACATGAAGAGAGATCCACGAGTACACTGCTCAATTCGTTGAACAGGATCATTACAACTGAAAAAACAAAGGTCTTATTAAATTTACCAGCTTAATTAACAGTTTTACTTTCAAGCTCTTAAGGGCCAATGACACAGTGCAATCTTCATTTTTTCTTTCTAGGATTATAAAATGATGTGGTCCATTGATATTAATGACACCACAGATACATGGAGCTGCAACGGTAAGCAGAACACTAAAGAAGGCAAGGAATAGTATTGGTCCTTAATGAGCATGTTCAACTTCTATTTTTAACCAATGGATTTATTATACAAGTTTGAATTCTGCATATTTTAAACTCAATGGAGTGAGTAACATTTCAAAGTTTAGTCACATGGAATGGAGTTTGGTTTTGTAACAAGTACCTTTGTGAGATTAGAGAACAAGCTCATCTAGAATTCGCAAATCAATACATTTAAACTAGACATGTCAAATAAATTGAATTTTGTAAAAAATCCTTTAAATTTGTGTAGGAAAAAAAAGCTGGAAAAAAAAAGAAAATCACAGTAAAATGGTGCATTGGAGATGGCTCTGTATCCCCTGAGAAACCTTATAAAAATGAAATGTGTTTCCATTTTGATGCTGCTGTGTATTTTATATCAGGGAGAGTAATGGATATTAAGAGCCTTAGAATTATTTACTTTAATCATTTTTTTTTGCAAACAAACAATGCAATAATAGGATGGTTACTTTTAGCTCTCTTTACTGGACTGTTTTGAAAGTCTTATATTAAAGGGACACACCAGGCACCCAGACCACTTCTACCCATTGGAGTGGTCTGGGTGCCAACTCCCACTACCCTTAACCCTGCAACTGTAATTATTGCAGTTTTTATAAACTGCAATAATTACCTTGCAGGGTTAACTCCTCCTCTAGTGGCTGTCTACTAGACACTTCCTGATTCTTAGCACAGGTTTTCTGTGCTATAGCGTCGCTGGACGTCCTCACGCTGTGTGAGGACCTCCAGGGTCGCTAACATCCCCATAGGAAAGCTTTCCTATGGAGAGGTCTAATGCGCGTGCGCGGCATTGCCACGCATGCGCATTAGGTCTCCCCCTGCCAGATGGCGTGGGGACGAGGAGGAGCGTGGGCGGACCAAGTAGCAGCGGCGAGGGACATCGTCGCTGCCTCTGGTAAGTCACTGAAGGGGTTTTGACCGACCCCTTCAGCAACCGGGGATGGGAGGTGGGTTTAAAAAAACAAATAAACTTTAAAAAAAAATTCCTCAAATAGTGAATTTTAAATGGGCAAAAAAAGGATAAGCCGATTAAAATGTCAGAAATAAAATTTTATAAGAAAGGTCATTGTTACAAAATAGTAAAGTTTCAATAGAATAATATGAAAATTGCAATATCTGTAAGATATGACTGCAATATTAAAAAGTAAATCCTTGTTGAGAAAATTTATTTTTTGAAGTGTAACTTTGCACTAGTATAATAATTAAAAAAAAAATGCTAGAGATATATAGAGATATATATATGATACAAAAGTTCCTTGCACTCACGCTTGGCATGTTAAGTTGTGCCTTATGAGGCTCGCCGGGTGCAAGTCTTTTAGGGATGTTAAATGTAGTTAATAGAGAAAAGCAGGCTGCACTCACGGACTTAAGAATAAAAGTGGTGTTTATTCCATCAAAAAGTAGAAGACAATCAACGTTTCGGTCCACACAGGGACCTTCCTCAGGATCAAGTACTTGATCCTGAGGAAGGTCCCTGTGTGGACCGAAACGTTGATTGTCTTCTACTTTTTGATGGAATAAACACCACTTGAATTCTTAAGTCCGTGATAATATAAAAATTATTATAAAAATTATTTAAATGCACTGTAAAACAGTTTATTACACAATGGACTTTGATTCCATAGCAAACTATTCTGTGACCTAAGAAATGCAATGAAGTAAATGATATTCTAACTGGATAGCTGTACCCCTCCCTTTTAAAGTAATTTATGTATTTAAAGAACAAAAAATATTTGGAACAAAGGTTATAAGAACTCATGTTAAAAGGAACACTATAGGTTCAGTAACACAAACATATATTCCTGACCCTATGGTGTTAAAACCACCATCTAGCCCTCCCTGCTCCTCCCTCACACCCCTCCTTGCCGCCTTAAATATAGTACAATCTTACTTTTATTCAAGTCTGCAACTGCTGCCTCCGCCCCTGTCTGCTTCTGACATCATTAGAAGTGGTGGTCTGAGACAATTACAGTGCTTCCCTATAGAAATGGCTGAGACTGTCAAATAGGCAGATCAGGGGCAGAGCCAGCACAAGTCACACACAGCCCTGAGCAATCAGAATCTCCTCAGAGAGATGAATTGAATCAATTCACCTCTATGAGGAAAGTTCAGTGTCTGCATGCAGAAGGTGGAGATACTGATATGCTGTGATGCACACTAGGCAGGACTGCTTAAAGGGACACTATAGGTCACCAGGACAACTACAGCCTATTGAATTTATTCTGATGAGTAGAATCATTACCTTCAGGCTTTTTGCTGTAAACACTGTCTTTTCAGAGAAAATGCAGTGTTTACATTACAGCCTAGTTATAACTCCACTGGTCACTCCTTAGGTGGCTGTTAGAGATCCTTCCTGGGTCATGGCTGCCTAACATGTATCCAAACATTCAGTGTCTCCACCCTCTGCATGCAGACACTGAAATTTCCTCTTAGAGATTCAATTCATCTCTATGAGGAGATGCTGTGTTTGAATCATGCTGCCTCTGCCCCTGATCTGCCTCCTTGTCAGTCTCAGCCAATGCTATGGGGAAGCATTGTGATTTGATCAGGCTAGCACCTCTAATGATGTCAGCAGACTGATTGTTTTTCTGAGTCTAACAGCATGCAGGGTTACAACATCAGGATTGAATACAGTAAGATTTTGCTATATTTATGGAGGCATGAGAGGCCCAGGGGGGCTAGATGGTGGTTTTAACACTATAGGGTCAGGAATACATGTTTGTGTTCCTGACCCTATAGTGATCCTTTAAGGAGGCACATCTAGCAGGCACCTGAATAGTGGCCAGTGGAGTTGTCACTAGGCTTTAATGTAAACACTGCATTTTCTCTGAAAAGACAGTGTTTACTGCAAAAAGCCCGAAGAGAATGATTCTACTCACTAGAATAAATACAATAAGCTGCAGTTGTTCTGGTGACAATAGTGTCCCTTTAATACTACTTGAACATATTTTTAAGAGTGAAAACCATTATACTGTTGCAATGTACATGTCAAGTAAATAAGAAATCCTAAACTATTAGTGAATAAAGGAATTTTCACCACTAAGTTGTAGATGCATAAGGCTTTAAAATGAATAAGGTTTGAAATGGCCATGATTATATTGCTTTACAAATTTAGGTTTGCAAATAAATTAAACAATAAAAACTCTGGAATGTCACTAAAGGGATTCTATAGGCATCAAAACAACTTTAGCTTGCACCAAAAATAATTTAATCTAAATGAAGTTGCTATGTTGCCAGGAGGCCCTTGGAAGCACTCTTACCCCAAAGTTGACTTCAGAGGGGCAAGGGCATCGCTGATTGGCTGAGAGTGTCAGCTGACCACTCTTAGCCAATCAGTGACCCCCATTCCCAAAACTGGCTTGGAAAAGGTACATTTCTTTCAGAGCCAGCTTTATGAATGGGGAGTCAATGATGAGCTAAGAGCATCAGCTGACCAGATATAAGTCATCATACATTGTTGGTAAAAGTACTCAACACATTATGGATAAGACTAAAAAGGCATGCTTTTACCAAAGAAATCCTATCCTTCAGTGCTTTTGCATTAGAAATTGTTTTATGGAAATATAAACAAATAGTTTTTTCAAATATAATTAACATTGCTTCTTTCTCCAACAAAAAAATAATAATTGCATTTTAAATAGAACACTGCATTCAACCATTATTTACATCAATTCCTTTCAAATCAATTTCACTAGTACTACTAGAATGTATTATTTTAAACAAGAGACTGCCACATAATATACAGGGGAATTGGCAGACAAAGTAGGAAACCAAGCAAGTAAAGAAAGTGTCTAGCATTTGAGTTAATTTAAAAAAAATTAAAAAGAGTTGTGCAAAAATTCATTTTTGGACCATTCACCCAAATCACATGCCTTGCAATCTCCACCCAGATGAAATGATAACCTGAATTTACCCTTTGGATCCTATTCAATGAATAAGACTCCAGGGCTAAATCCCGGGCGATCACTTTATCCATGTATAACTTAAAAGCTACTAGAGTCTGACGAACTGTTCAGAACAAGTTTGTGCACAAGTCTACATGGCACACCTTTGATTCTGCTATGGTATAAAACAAAAAGTAATTATTACATTTTAGATTCAAAGAGGCACATCCAAAATTTTGTAATACATGCTTAGAAAATAACAATGGTAAACTGCTGAGCTTCTAGCTTTGTGTCCTGTAACCCCAGAAAGAGGGATGATATGTAATAAAAAAATAATCTGTTCTTAAAAGGAACACAAGCACTAAAACAAATACTGAGCAATGTAGTGGTTAAGGTGCCATGAGTGCCCTGGCGAATCTCAGTGTTTCCCAACAGTTTCACCTCTTATTTGAGGAGGACTGCTGAGTGCTGCTCCCTGCCTCCTTTCTAAGTAAGCCCTCTCTCTGAGCTAAGCCTGGCAATCTTTTGAGCGATTGGAAGCTGGGAGAAGCCACACCCCAGGTAAGAGTTCAAACCGTAACTGTATGCTGGCACCATAACCACTAGAGCATGCTGTACAAGTTATGGTGCTGGGGTACTCCTTTAAGGAGATGTTCCACAGAAAACTAGAAAAATGCATTCATATAAATATATATATGCATATTGGTACAATGTAATAACTATAAACAAAACACGGTTGACTGTTACATTACAAGGTGGAGATACTGCCTCAAATCGGTCTCAAAAATGTTGTCATTAATAAATCACTGACAAATCCTCAGTAATGCTAATTTTCATTATGTGGTCAAAAAAAGTTGTCACTTAGATAAAGATTGGCACTAAACACTAGGACAATTTTAAAAAGTATGATGGTCTATAAGGATCAGCAATTGAAAATAATACTAAACTTGGTTATCTGCTGATAACCTGAAAGAGTACAAAGAAACTCAGCCAGGCATAACATGGTATAAGTCATCTTAATCTGCAAAGCTTCCATCTATAGCAAGATGGTGAGCAAATATGGAGAACTGCAGACTTGTAATACATAACAGACATCTGGTTTAAGTTTATAAATGTATAAATATATATTTTTTTTCCCCCAGAATACTTTGCTTTATTTAGGATCTATGAGAGAAAGTTCCAGGCGAGTAGGAGATGGTGTACACTATAGTTCAGTGCTGGCTATCCAATAAATACTTTTTATATACGTGTATGGTCTTACACATTCGAACACACACAGAAATATCTATATTTGTTTGCTATTCAACTAGCATAATGTATATAGTAACTTGCAATTTAATATCAGATTGTGGTGTGTTATGCATCAAGTTCCTTTAAAATGAGCTCATGTAACATAACAGCAGTCACAAAATGTTTTAGGATAATTCTGCATCTTGTGTGATAGCAATTACATATTTCTGAAGTAAAAGTATTTAATTATTTTAGTTTTTGTGGAACTTCCCCTTTGAACCAGGTAATATGAAGTAGACATTAAAATTCAAGACAAATTTGCAAAGTACAGAGGAGCTGCTTGATTTAGTAAACTATACAAAGTAACAACATAATCTAGTCAGAGCTAATGAGCTCTGAAAAGAGACGTGTTGTATAATTCTGGAAAAAAAAGTGCTTTTCTCACCATACCCGTGCAGAGACCTTATTTAAAATAAAAAAAAAAAAATACATATAATACTATTCTATGAGAACCTACCTCAAACGCTTATAGGTGTCAGTACTTTCTTCAACAAGTGTTCTTTTGGGAATGGGAAAGAGAAACATTACACCACAAAATGAAAAGTCAAAAAAGAAAACAAACTGCACATAATTTTTAGGATCCCTTTGTAAAATATCTTCACAAAACAAGAAAGGGGGTAAGAAACCATTTATTTTAATGATACATTTATAGCAATCTATTGGGTAAATTGGATGGCAGTAATGCACATCTTATGCAAACAATAACATGATATGTATAAGTAGTTGGTAATAGGCAAAGTAAAAGTGAAGTATTATATCAAAATGCTTTACAAATTATGGCCTTAAATGATACTTTTGACTAAGTTATAAATTGCCATATATACACAATTAGTTCAGAGGCATTTATATCAATATACATTAAAATACTTATACCAACTAAACCAAAAATGTTAATAATTAGAAGATTAAATTTTTTTTAAAAAAAATTGTATATATTGATATATATATATATATATATATCTATATCTATATCTATCATGTGAGACTTACCCTGGACACAGTTTATCAGCCTTTTTTTCGTGTTGCAAAGCACAATCATAGCAGAAAACATGCTTGCAAGGGATCTAGAGGGAAAAACACAGAAATAAACAATCCAGACTACTAATGAACACAATACAAACACAGCTAGCAAATAAATGCTTTAAAAGAACACTATAGCATTAGGAATATAAAACTAACACTACAGTATGCTCCGTTCCATAACTTTAGGTTGGTCTCAAACCCGCCCAGCAAGAAAAGGTTAAAAACCCTTTTTCCCCCCCACTCACCTTAATTCCATCTCTGAGGTCTCTCGGCACTGGCTCCGTCTCCTCCTCCAACCAGGCAACGCCAATGGCAGATCTAATGCACATGCCAAGCGAGTGCATTCGATCTTTCCCATAGAAAATAATTGAATTAAGGCTTCCTATGGTGATTTTAAAGACGGTGGACGTCCTCATGCAAAGTGAGGATGTCCAATGTTGTTTCACAGAGTTATCTCCATGAAAATACAAGAAGCGTATTTAGAGGTTGTCTTAACCCTACAATGTAAACATTGCAGTTTCTCTGAAACCGTCATGTTTTTACTTTCAGGGTTAAGGGGACAAAGACACTGCACCCAGAACGCTTCAATACGATATAAAATGGTATAGGTACCTATAGTGTCCTTTTAAATTGTAAAATAACAGTAGATGATACCAGAAACTAAATATATTATATATTCTTCCATGTACAAAAAGTTTTTAATTCTTTAAAAAGAGATAGAAAATTTTATTTAAAATTAATACAAATCATCATTAGCAAATGTCTCCCTTTTTCTGGCTCAGCTTTTTAAATAAGATATGCAAAAGATTTCAACACTGTATAAAATTATGGTCTGTAAAACCTTGCATGGAAAGGCAAGTTCTACTGAACTACAATTATCTTCATTAATTTTACAACCATGACTTATTTACAATGAGGTGAATAAAAAAATAAATGAATAAAGGCCAACTAAAATGAGTAATTTGTCAGAAATAAGTCCAGAAGAAAATCTGCATACATTTTCCGATTAAAGTGTTTAAAATAAACTGCAGATTTAGATTCTTGAATGGTACAGCAGTTTAAGGCACACTCCTGATTGACAGGTAGGGGGTGTATTTAGCAGAAATTGGCTATGCAAAAAAAAGTGTAAAAAAAAAAAAATAATCTTACATAGCCTGTAATGTCTGCTTTATATAAATATATACTTTAGTGTGGCAATTTTTTCTTCTGTGACAGCTGTTAAGCTTACAAGACAAACATATCAAATTAATGTTATACGTTTTATTTTATCTGAAATCCTAGACATATTATATACTCCGTAAATCTGAACAACTTGAATTTATTTTTGAATTACTTTTCTAATTATGCACATATTAATGCCAAAACTGTGAAACGAACCAGTTTTGTTTTCTATATTACACAGAGTTTTTTTTTTCCCCAAGGAATATGAATATGAATATATATATTCCAAAAAAACGGTATATGATATATGTTGATGTAATAAACAAGAAAGATGCAAATTGCAGATGACTACAAAGAGCAAAAATGGCTTGTGTCCTTAATGTGTTAAATAGGGAAATTACTATAACCAATTATTCTGCAACAGGTAAAGGAACACTAAAGCGTTAAGAATAAAAACCTGTATTCCTAACACTTTAATGTCCCTGTCCTTTAGTATATATGTCCTCCCCACAATGTGTACCATAATATTAAGAAAACAAAGCTGTTTACTTACATTTTCCAGTGCAATGGATCCCTCATCTCAGTTTACATCTACTCCTGCAATGTCATGGAGCAGGCATGGGATCTAATACACATGTGCAACGAGCGAGAATCCACACAGGAAAGCATCAAATTAATTCTTTCCTATGGGGATGCAACATCACATGACCACGTTTTACTCTGCCATTCCAGCAAGTGTCTCTCTAGTGGCTGTCAGTGTTACAGCCACTGGAGGTGTGTTTAAAGGGGCACTTTAGTCACCAGAACAACTACAGCTTATTGTACTTGTTCTGGTAAGTATAATCATTACCTTCAAGCTTTTTGCCGTAAACACTTTTTTCCCAGAGAAAAGGCAGTGTTTACATTACAGCCTAGGGATACCTCCACTGGCCACTCCTCACATGGTTGCAAGAGGGCAGTGCGCAGCACTTCCATTCAGTGTCTCCACTCTCTGCATGTAGACACTGAACTTTCCTCGCAGAGATGCATTGATTCAATGCATCTCTATAAGGAGGTGCTGATTGGCCAGGGCTGTTTTTGGCTTGCACTGGCTCTGCCCCTTATCCGCCTCCTTGACAGTCTTAGCCAATCCTATGGGAAAGCATTGTGATTGGTTTTGAATAACACTTCTGATGTCAGCCAAGCAGGCAAATCAGGGGCAGAGCCAGCAGACTTGACTAAAATTAGATTTTACTATATAGTGGGGCAATGGGTGGTTTTAACGCTATAGGGTCAGGAATACATGTTTGTGTTCCTGACCCTACAGTGTTCCTTTAACCTTTAAAACTAAACATTACCTTTTCTGCAAACAGTATTATGGTGGTTAAATTGATAGGACCACTGCACCCAATCCATTACATTGAGAAATGGGTAAAAATAGGTAAAAGGGTCCGAATCAAGCATGTGTGGTTAAACCATCAGTAACTCATTACAAAATATAATGTCAACTAGTTTTTCCTCCCTCAAGTGCTGCTACTCCTGTGTCTGTCTCCATCCAAGTCAACGGCACTACTATCACCTCTACCTCGCAGGCTCGCTGACTAGGGGTTCTTTTTGATTCTGATCTCTCTTTTACTCCCCATGTCCAATCGATAGCCAAATCATGTCGCTTCCAACTCAAGAACATAGCGCGCATCCGCCCATATCTAACGCCGGACACGGCTAAGGTACTGGTTCATGCTGTTGTTCTCTCTCGACTTGACTACTGCAATCCCCTTCTCACCAGTCTTACATGTTCCCAGCTTGCACCGCTGAAATGTATAATGAATGCAGCTGCAAGGCTTATTTTCCTGTCCGGTCGCACCTCCCACGCCTCCACGCTCTGTCAGTCCCTGCATTGGCTTCCAGTTAGATATAGGGCCCAATTCAAAATTCTGGCGCTTGCTTACAAATCTCTACATAATGCTGCTCAAACATACCTATCCTCCCTCATACACAAGTATGTCCCGTCGAGACCCCTGCACTCAGCCCAAAGACCTACGCCTATCCTCTGCCCGGATCCCCACCTCTGATGCTCGTCTTCAGACTTCTCCAGGGCTGCACCTATTCTGTGGAACTCCCTTCCCTCCTCAATCAGACTTTCACCCAGCCTCAACTCCTTCAAAAAAATCTTTGAAAACTCACTTCTTCATTAAAGCGTATCAATTAAACCGTCAGCAGGTTTCTCATCCTCCACCCCATGACTCCTTTCCTGCAACTGTCAAAAATGACCTACCAAGCACTCAATAAACCCTTCTTTAACCCTTTGTGTCACTATACCCCACTCCCTCTAGCATGTAAGCTCATCGAGCAGGGCCCTCAACCCCCTCTGTTCCTGTACGTCCAGTGGTATGATCTCAATTATGTGTGTTAGTCCACCCATTGTACAGCGCTACGGAATTTGTTGGCGCTAAATAAAATAATAATAACTAAAATAATACATTGCAATTTTGCATATCACAAGAGTAAAAAGCATTTCATAATAAAAACACTTACCATACGTCCATAAAGTTTTATAGGCAAGCCACATTTGTCACATAAGTGGACAGGAATTTCATCCTTTTCTCCAATAAGATTCAGCTGTGGAAAAATGGTTATGCTTTAATTTAAATATAATGTAATATAAAAGTATAGGAAAGTATGATTAAAGTGCTAGTATAAAACTATCAAAAATATATAAAATTAATGGTAGTATAAAATGAATGTTATTCAAGCACTAAAATAATAGTTCTAGGAAATGCACATCCTGTGTTCTAAAAGTGGCCCTAACATTTTTTTTCCCCTTTGACAATTCCAAATCGTACAGACTGATAAATATTATCAAAGTACTTATTAGTGTGAGGTGTGCAGCGAAGGCAACTATGAAATATTCTTATCTCAAAACACTTCTGGATGCACTCGTGCACCAGCTGAGAAAATACTGTGTATGTGCACAGGAGCATGACTTCCATAGTATTGTGCCTGTGCTCTTATTCACAAAATCATGGAGGTGAAAGCTATCAACATCCTATACCATGGTTGTTTTAATGTTTTTCATTACAGGTTCACTTTAAAAAGGGACACACGTGGCTGGAGCTGATCTCTTCAAAGCAACTCTGTCACCATCCGGGGTCTTTGCTAATTTGCACAAATCCTTAACAGTGACTACTCGCAGGGTTAGGCGAGTTACACTTACCTGAACCTTTCCCTTGCAGCTGCCATCGTGGCCTTTCTGACAGTGCTCTTTAGCTCCTGGTGCTTCAGCTGCGAGGAACACATTTTAGTTGTGTACTCACGCACATGCGCTAAACTACAACACAGAGGCTATGGAGGAAACCCTCCATAAATAGAGCCTTTTTCCTTACATTCATCACTGATAACAACTTGACAAGAGGTAGTTCCACTACTTGTCAAGCATAGCAAAAATACTAAGTATATCTTTGATTGCTTTCTTATTTCAATGAAATTCCAACACAGTGTATGTGGGTATTTTATAAAATTTTTATCTTTATTAAATATTCATTTTAGAGTTTGCAAGTGGGGGTGGGGCGTGCCACCTTAATCCTTTAAGATATTTGATTGATATAATGGTCAGAGGCTAAGCTGAGACACAGAACCAACTTCAGCCATGGGCTTTCAGTGAGTATTAAATGTAATGATGGTTAGAGTTCCCATTGAAGTGTTTGATAGAGCACATACAGATTTAAAACAAGTGTGGAGGTGGGGGACGATGACAAAATTTCACTTTCAAATACATTACACATATAATGCACACATCAAAAAGCAATAAAGTGAGAGCTCGATTTTTGGGCAACCCTAATAATTAAGATTCTCTTGCATGGATCTAAACCATTATCTACAACACAAACATTTGCATAAACTTATGATCTGTCAAATTTATTTAAAAAAGGAGATTTGTATTTACAAGTGAATGGGAGCCAACGGAATTCAATCTGAAACCCCAGTTACACCCAAAACTATTTCATTGTTCTCAGTCTCATAAATATATTTTGACATGTATCATATCATACCTTATAGTCCCAAAACATGAGAGAAGGAAATCTTCTTTGATTGCCAAACATGTCTCCTCCTTTGTTATCATATCTTTCTTCCTCATTGTAATCAAAGCCTTCTTAAAAAATGGGAAAGAGTGCATAAAAAAAAAAAAAAATTAATTTTTACATTAATGTATCATATATAAAACACCAAACATTGTATGAATTAACATGGAAATTAGTGCCCCGCTTAATAAATACAGGAGACTGATTACATGTATATTTTAAAGAATTACTCTCTCCATATTCCAACCTATGTTAATATAGATGTACATTTCAAGACATGCAAGAGTCACACACATTTTCATAAAACATTAAAAGGGATATTTGCTAAAGCAGGGCTTGAGAAATTTTCTATGAATCTAGGAGCCAGCTAACACAAGTTAAGAGCCAGGTTTTGTTTTTGTTTTTTTAAACAAAGATTTGTTTATAAAAACAAAAATACAATTCCTAAAGTTTCTATAGTCAACCCCTGAAGGCTAAACAATGAAAACACTTGCTTTTCAGGGACAAGACAATGTTTACATTGCTGATTAGTAATACCTCTAGTGGCAGTCACTCAGACAGTGCAGCTGCTTGCATGGAGGCGCTAAATGTTCCCCATAGAAATGCATCTCTATGAGGATATGCTGTCTGGCACAACGCTGCGTTTTGCCACACATGCACAATAGCCTCCTAATGCTTTCCAATAGGAATGCATTGGAATGGCTAAGGTCTTCAATTGCTAGTCTCAGGTGAGACCGGCACAGCGTATTAAAACAAACAAAAAACACACCTTTCCATGCCATCAATGGTGCGGGGGGGGGGGGCACATAGACACACACATTCTCTCAAATGTACAAAATCTTGCTTTATTATAATTTACATCCACCCAGCCTCCCCACCTTTGGGTGAGCTGGAGTGGTTTCTTGCCCTGGCATCAAGCTGGGATCCTTCCTGCTTTGCTCTTCATAGTGATGCCAGTGTTCTATCAATCTATCAAATCCCCTCCCTAGTGAAAATCCCCTACCCTTGTCACTTCCGGTGAGGGAAATCAGCTGGATCCTGTGCTGCACATGAGTGCTAGCACTGCTGCTACTCCTCCACAGCCAGATCCTGGAAGGTAAGTAAAGCTAGTTTTACACTTTCATTATAGTTAGTGCATTCACTAAGCTAAGGACATGGGACATTTAGGGTTAATGTTAGGGTGCAAATAAGGGTTAGGTAACTTATTTTAACCTCTCTCACTCTCTATTCTAACCCTTGGGGTAAGGGTTAAAACAAAGTGTGAAAAACCACAACTTATAGATATTCCCCTAATGTGAAATATCACTAAATATAAACAAGTTCCTAACCCCAACATTAACCCTAAATGTCCAATGTCCTAAGCTTAGTGAATGCACTAACTATAATGAAAGTGTAAAACTAGCTTTACTTACCTTCCAGGACCTGGTTGTGGAGGAGTAGCAGGAGTGCTAGCACGCATGTGCAGCACAGGATCCAGCTGATTTCCCTCACCGGAAGTGACGAGGGTAGGGGATTTTCACAGGTAGGGAAATTTGAGAGAACATCAGTGCCAAAGTAACATAATATATATCCTGTCTTCCGGCATCAGAGCAGGGCTCGCAAAGAATCAGAGAAAAAAAAAAAAAGAGGAGAACGATTATAGCTCCCTCGCAGCCAGCCTCCACTCTGCACAGCCATCCTCCTCGAGGTAACCAATGGTGAACGGGCCTGTGGTGACCAGTCCTGAACGAGCTGAAAAACACCCAAGAGCCAGGACAAAAATCCTAGTCACCATAACAATCTGGCACCTAGTAATCATCAAGTTCTGTGCTAAAGTGAGAATTAAAATTGAATTTCAAATTTAAAGGGATTGTATAGTGTAAAAAATACAAAGCTGTATTCCTTACACTATAGTCCCTCTGTGCCCCCTCAACTGACACTGCAAGGGTTAAAAAAAACCCCTTTAAAACACTTACCCAATTCCAGCGACAATGTTCCTTGGCACTGGGTCGGGGCTCCACCTCCTGCTCCGTCATCCGACGGGGTAGGGGAGCCTAATAAGCGGCAAAAAGTAATTTAGGGCCATGCAGAACTACTGTGCAATATACAATAATTCACATAGACACAGTATGTAATAATTGCTACATATACACAAGCACAACGAACAGTACCTTTAGAGTAGTGGTTCCCAAAACAGTCCTCAAGACGCAACAGTCCAGGTTGTCAGTATAAAAACAGGGAAATGAATAAATCCTGGATTGTTGGTGGGCTATAAGACTAGTTTGGGAACCACTGCCTTAGACTACTTAGGGTTCTTAAAATCAGAACATGACTAAAGAAATTAAAGGGTTGCTCCAAGCATTATGACCACTACAGCCCCCTTACCTGGGTTCCCTGCCAGGCTCTGAAGCTTACTAATGGGCCAGTAACACTCTTTAAGCTTCTGCAGAGCAACAGAAACGAGAAGACAAAGCAGTCACCATTCACTGAAAACTCAACCAGTGACTTTCATACTGTGCAACAAATGTTTCAAAGAACAGTCATTAGCCAGCACTGAAATCTATATCCAGGTTGGCTGATGATACACCTATGGCACTGCCCGATGTGGAGTTACACATTTGGGGAGATAAAGGGTTAATCTCTGTGTTTATGGCATTTTAGAGCAAAAACGATGCACATGCAGTCTGCTGACACCATCACCACTTCAAATCATTTAAGTGGTCATGGTGCTTTGAGCAGCCCGTTAAGTTATTACAAGGAATGTAGTATACTAGCAATACCTCATTATATTTTTGTTAAACTCTACTATATCAAATCCTAAACAGCAACACACACTGCATATACATGCTATTTAAAATGTATTTCTCACTTGCATTGTATACCGTCATAAAAAGTCTGTATAGATTCCTTTGTATAAAGGAATATGATAGCATAATACATTATACCTTCTTCACCTGACTGTGGCTTTGCAGGCATTCGGTTCATGTTTCTTGGAGGACGAGGTGAAAGTTTACTTTTATTTGGATGTTTGGAGATGAGTTTTATTGGAATTCGTCTTCGGACATCCAATCCGCTCAGGGAACCCATACTGTTTGTCCCTTGCAAATCGCCGTCTAAATAAAATGCAAATAAAATAAAGATTATTCAAAAGCATGTTCCAAAAACCATGACCGTTACCCCATTTGTGGGCAGGGAATAAAACATTTAGTACATAAACTGGAGCTGGTCAGTAGTTTATGGGAAAAGGTGAGATCCCAGACACAGAAAAGAGAAGCTTGTGATTATTGGAACCTCTTGCTAGTAAGGAGGGGACTTGTAGCTGCAGGTAGCCTCTCTTAGCTGTCTAGCCACAAGAATTATGAATGCACTATAAACAGGAGTGTATTATATAAATGCACACACAAGACACATGAAAAATATATTTGCTGGCACTATTGGTAATTATGACAGATGTTGCATTTTCAAAACAGACTTTCTAAACCAATTCATTAAATTAATATTTTTGTCAAGTAGTGCCTTAGTATAAAATACAAAGGATTGCATTTTAGTTTCTTGAAAACTTAGAATCACAATCTAACAATACATCAGATTTATAATGCTGTGTGATTATTATATTCATAAAACAAGACAGCAGAATCATCTTTCCCAACTAATTTGTTTAATTTGTAAGATCTATATATTATTTTTTTTTTTTTTTTAAATCTACATCTTAAAATTCCCAGTTGCTATTAGTGAGTGAAAATTTAGCCTCGACAAATAGAAAGTCACTCCTCGAAGGTATATTATGGCTCGCAGTGGTAACGTCTTAAGCCTGGCTAGAAGCATAAGGACCACACATTTTGAGCTCGGTATAATACATATTTATATATCTCCATGTTATTATAAAGCAGAAGTTCACTATATACATTACCATACAAAGTTTGACAGCATCAGCAAAGAATATCGACTAAAATTAGTATGTTCATACAGAAGTATGAATTTCTGCTTAGCAAAGATGTGGATTCATGGCATAACCTCTACAGTGTGCTTAATTGAACACTATAGGCACCCGGACCAGTTCAGCTCATTGAAGTGGTCTGGTTGCAGGGTCACTGTCAGTTTAACCCTGCAATGGTAGTTATTGAGAAATTGCAATAATTACCGTGCAGGGTTAACTCCACCTCTAGTGACTGTCTACCACATAGTCCCTAGAGGCGATCCGTGTCTTTAGGAGACTATTGGTACGCTATGCATGAGGGCATCCAGCGTTAGCTAAAACCTCGCTAGTAAGAGGAGTACTATAAGCTAGGAATACAATTGTGTATTCCCTAGACTATAGTTTCCCTTTAAAGGGTTATTATGTCCAATAAAACGCCCTGGAAATTTACTAATCTCTTAATGTGGTTATAGTTCGGACATGTCCTTAATCTTGAACCGGTTAGCAGATGCATTACCAGCTGCCTTAGCAGAACAATCTACACATGCATAGTATCAGTAATTAGTGAGATCACCTCAGGTAAAGTGAACTAAAGTTAATGAAAACAAATCGAACTTAAAGGGCTTATACCCATGACACACCATGGAGAACATAATAGTGAGGGTTGACTTTAATATGGGTAATAGAGAAACAGTGAAGTGAACAGAGGAAAAACGTAGATGTTGTGGAACTTCAACTCCCAGTATGGTTTGCCAGCCATAATGCCCATTGTAGAGCCTCTCTCACATTGCAGTACGCCCCATGCACAATAATGTGCACTCTATACCGGGGGTCTACACGGGGCCCTGGCATCCAGACAGGCAATGATAACCTATCACTAAGGACCTGATACAGGAAGCAGACATGTAGTGAGGCCTGGGACGGCGCGATCACAGCCCTGCACGCAGCCAGCGAGGCTTCCACCCGAGCCTCTCAACTACCCGCACAGTCCGGCGGTGAAGCGCTCAGCGGGCAGCTACCGGAAAACTAAGGCTACAAACGGCATAAATCCCACGGACGCACTTCCCTTCTCACCATTATGGTCCATGATTCGACGCGATGCACTATGGGAGCGGAAGGCGCTGGGCGGCCTAAGGAAAGGGAATCAAGCGGGGTGGAACCAGAGCGAACAGGCTATGGCCTGACAGTGGCGCATGCGCACTGGGTGGTCCTTAGCCGTTGGCAGATTCGCCAAGGCTCGGTGTGTGGAACGTAGACCGTTCTAAGGAGCACTCTGTGATGACACGGCGCTGTGAACATTCTATAGTCGTTCTGGTGGCAGTCACACTGTTTAGTTGGCGCCAAACGAAGATAGAACAGTGACTGAGACAATAACAGTGTTGAGAAAAAGCTAAGGTGGACAATCTTGCGAACCGCTTAAAGTGTCAAATTGATGCAAATTCAAAGTAAATTTGAAACTAGAAAAATTTAATGTTTCACATATGGCTATTGTAGGCTTACATATCCTGAAACGGAAAAATATTAGTGTTTCTTTGGAATTTCTCCAGTTTGTTTATTTTGGCCAAAGTTACAGGAACAGTTTAGGCACCATAACAACTTAATCTAAATAAAGTTGTTATGGTGCCAGGAGGCCCCCTCAGGCGCATTTTAATCTTCAGGGTTAGACTGCTTTAGAACGGTTTAACCCCAAAGTTGTTTCTAGTTCCGATCTCGCAGGCAACCCCTTAGTGGCATCCACTAACATTTTCCAAGCCAGTTTTGTAAAGAGGGAGTCACTGAATGGCTGAGAGCATCAGCTGACCACTCAGCTAATCAACAGTGCCAATACCCAAGACACCACTCGTTTCAGAAGCTGGATGTCGCTAGGGGTGGGAGCTGAGATTGGCTCTGGTGGTAACTGTGGGGTGCGCTTTAATCTCTAAAGGTAAGAATGCGCCCGGGGACTTCCTGGCACCATTACAACTTAATTTATATTAAGTTGTTTTGGAGCTTGAGGTATTCCTTTAACAATGTCATTGTTTATTTAACATAGTTAGCTAATGCTCGCACTCCCTTGGAACAACTTAGCAAAAATATTCCACACAGACATTCAGTCTACAATAATTTGAACTTTGTTCACACAATTTGAAATATATGGTTTTGGCATAGAAGCCTCCAAAATACCTTAAAGGGACCACTATAGGCACCCAGACCACTTCAGCTTAAAGGACCACTATAGTGCCCCCACCCTCAGGGACCCCATCCCGCCCGGCAGGGGAAAGGGGTTAAAACTTACCTTTCTCCAGCGCTGGGCGGGGAGATCTCCTCCTCCGTTCCTCCCCGTCGGCTGAATGCGCGCGAGCGGCAGGAGCTGCGCGCGCATTCAGCCGGTCGCATAGGAAAGCATTATCAATGCTTTCCTATGGACGCTGGCGTGCTCTCACTGTGATTTTCCCAGTGAGAATCACGCAAGCGCCTCTAGCGGCTGTCAATGAGACAGCCGCTAGAGGATTTGGGGGAAGGCTTAACCCATTCATAAACATAGCAGTTTCAGAGATGTTTATGTTAATCTGTCAATGAGACTTCCGCGTTTCTCACTGTAAAAATCAGTGAGAAGACGCCAGCGTCCATAGGAAAGCATTGTGAATGCTTTCCTATGGACTGGCTGAATGCGCGCGCGGCTCCTGCTGCGCATGCGCATTCAGCCGAAGAGGAGGAGGAGAATATGGAGGAGAGCTCCCCGCCCAGCCCTGGAGAAAGAGGTATGTTTAACCCCTTCCTCTCCATCCAGCCCAGCGGGAGGGGCACTCTCAGGGTGGGGGCACCCTCAGGGCACTATAGTGCCAGGAAAACGAGTATGTTTTTCTGGCACTATAGTGGTCCTTTAAATATAGTCCAGCTTTACAATTAAAACTAAAATCCACCCCTGTTAGGAGGTAGTATGTGATACAATAAAGTGCCTTGGTGATAAGCAGCTAAACACTTAATGTGGGATACCCTTTTATCCACAATAAATTAAACAGACAAAATATGGTATAGAAATACCTATTAGTGGAGCGCTATACAAATCTAACTTGTGTAGGGGTTTCTTCAACTTACCCCTCAAATACAGTGTTATAGTGAACTTGAGGTTACATAAAATGAGAAAAGAAAGAAAAAAGAACAAAATAGTGTAGTCTAAAAATCAATTATGTAGAAAAAAGCTGGAACCACTCACATGTTCCGGAGCTTATAAGATATTGGCTCCTTAACCCCTTAAGGACAGGCCTGCGATGTTGTACGTTAAGGACCAGAGAGGTTTCAGCACTTTTGTGGTGTTTGTGTTTAGCTGTAATTTTCTGCTCTCTCATTTACGGTTCCCACACAAATTATATATTGGTTTGTTTTTTTTAAGGACAAGAAGGGCTTTCTTTACATACCATTATTTGTATCATATCATATATTTTACGGAAAAAATAATAATAAAATATGGTGAAAAATAAAAAAAAAACATGTTTTTTGACTTTTACTTGAAAAATCTTTAATTATCTACAAAAGCTAATGAAAAAAACTGCTAAATAGATTCAAAATTTTGTCCTGAGTTTTAAAACACCCAGTGTTTACCTGCTTTTTTGCTTTTTTTTTTTGCAAGTTATAGGGCTATAAGTACAAGTTGGAAATTGCTCTTTCAATGTATATATTTTTTACATTTATCAATAGTTCCATTGTAACACTGTTATCTGTCATAAATCCCCAAATCACACCCCACATATACATATTTTTTTTAACGTAGACAACCCAGGGTATTTAATATGGGGTATGGCCAGTCTTTTTTATATCTTATATATATACACATATATTATTATTATTTTTACACAGACAGTCCCCCTGCAGACAGATACACAGGCATCTACTTCGGTCATGTGATTGAGCGATCACATGACCGCGGGATCCTGATCTGCTGCGGGGAGACTGCCTGGGCAGACAGGCAGTCCCCCTGGACCGGGAGGAGCGCTGATCGCCGCCTGGGGACTGACGACGATCAGGTAAGTACCCCCAAGACGTTATGACGGTTCAGGACCGTCATCGGTCCTCAAGGGGATGTTTCCGATGACGGTCCTGAACCGTCATCGGTCGTCAAGGGGTTAAAGTAAACCTTTTTGCTCTTAGTGCAGCAACGCACCACGGCGAAGTCTCCTGCAAAGGGAATATAAGAAGAGAAGCGACCAATGTGTAGTATTAAACTTATAAACTTAAAGGACCATTATAGTGTCAGGAAAACAAACTCGTTTTCCTGGCACTATAGGGTCATTAGGTCCCCCCCACCCTCATTGCCCCCCTCCCACTGGGCTTAAAGGGTTAAAAACCCTCCAGCCGCTTACCTTTCTCCAACGCCGGGCTCCCTCGGTGCTGGTGACCTCTCCTCCTGCCGACGTCAGCGCCGAATGTGCATTCAAACCGCCCATAGGACAGCCACTAGAGGCTGGATTAACCCTCAGTGTAAACATAGCAGTTTTCTCTGAAACTGCTATGTTTTAAGCTGCAGGGTAGAACTAGAGGGACCTGGCACCCAGACCACTTCATTGAGCTGAAGTGGTCTGGGTGCATATAGTGGTCCTTTGATGGTAAGTATTAAGCTCACGTTGTTTAGAGCCTTCAATTCCTGGCTCTAAGGGTAGTAGGCGGGGGGGGCAATTTTCTGGGGATGGGCTGACTGACGAAGCTCATGGTTGAGTGAAACGCGTTTCGGCAAATTTGACTTATTTATTGGACTTTTTACCTTTCATAGCATTTACTATATATTTTTTTTATTTGTAATAAATACATTTTATATATTATTCCAACAAAGTCCTTTGAAGCTTCTAAGAATCTTCATTGGGGTGGTGCTATTCCCAGAAAATTGGAACCCCATCTATTACCTTTTGAGCCAGGAATTGAAGGCTCTAAACAAGGTGAGCTTAAAGGACCACTATAGTGCCAGGAAAACAAACACTCTAGAGTGTTTAGGTTCCCCCCACCCACAGGGTCCCACTCCCTCTGGGTCAAGGGGGCTGAAGGGGTTAAACACTTACCTTTCTCCAGCGCTGGGCTCCCTCGGCACTGGGGAACTCATCTCCTCCTGCCGATGTCAGCGCTGAATGCGCGTCAACAGCCATGCGCGCCTTCAGACAGTCCATAGGAAAGCATTTCTCAATGCTTTCCTATGGACGTCCAGCGTCTTCTCACTGTGATTTTCACAGTGAGAAGCGCGGAAGCGACTCTAGCGTCTGTCAGTGAGACAGCCACTAGAGGCTGGAATTACCCTAGTGTAAACATAGCAGTTGACTAAGTGGCTACTAAAAAAGACTGGACATACCCCACTTGCAATACCTTGGGTTGTCTACTTTTGCAAATGGTATGCCAACATGGGGTATAATTCTCATTCCTGGGCTACCATACGGTCTCAAAGGCACATTACCAAACTGGCAAATTTCAACGTGAAAAAAATGAAATGCAAGCCTTATATTTGACTCTCTAACTTTCCAAAACACCATAAAACCTGTACATGAAGGGTATTGTTATACTTGAAAGACTTCACTGAACACAAACATTAGTGTTTCAAAACAGTACAACGTATTACAACAATAATATCGTCAGTAAAAGTGTCGTTCATGTGTGAAAAATGCAAAAAAAAGTCACTTTTACTAAAAATATCATCGTTGTAATACAATTTACCATTTAGAAACAAAAATATTTGTGTTCAGCAAAGTCTCCCAAGTAAAACAGTATGCCCCATGTACAGGTTTTATGCTGTCTTGGAAAGTTACAGGGTTAAATATAGCGCTTGCGAATAAAATTCTCTGCACTTTCTGCCTGGGTTGTCAGGCATGTCAATCAAATTTTAATTAATAAAATCACATAATTATGCTAAAAGATTACTTAAATATACACATAGAATTTTAATATATACATATATATGTATTTAAATTCTACGTGTATACTTATGTAATCATTAATGTAATTATATATATTTATCTATATACATATAATTATGGTTTTGTATTTTACATATAGATAGATATATATAGAATGTCATTCTAAGTGTATTTTGTTACCAATATAAATATATAAATAACAAAATACAGTTAGAATAAAATAACGTATGTATATATAATTTATTTTCATTTTTTAAAATGAGCATTGAGTAATGCTTTTCCTGTGTGCGGTTTGAATGCGCACGCGACTCTTTTTTTTTTTATTTTAAATTCTTTATTTTTGTTTGACATTTCAGCATAAGACAAGGCACGATGTTCCAGTTTAAAACATAAACTGTGGTCAAGCGTAGAAAGCCTTACTACAGTGGAGGCATAAATTTTGTAGGTGTGGAGTAAAAAACAAGGTAAAAAAAAAACTTTACATGCCTGATATACAACGCTCTCTAGTGAGGGTACATACATCATACTTAAGCTGTCAATTTACATTTTTAATGCGCAGTGACTGGATGAGAGGTGGCCAGGTGGGTGATAGGTTTCTATGGGCATCTGGTGGTGCCTATAGTGAAGCTTGCACTGACTCTCATTCTCACATTGTAAAATATAATCCCACAGCCTTCCTACCTTTGGGAGTGCTGAGGGGATTCCACCTTTCCTTGAGGCCAGTGGGACTGCTGGCTGGCCAGCCGGGCCTGCAGGCAGCGAGGGAGCTTTAATCTCCCTGCTCAGCTACCTCGCACACCACTTACTGATGCCGGAGCTGAAGTGACGTCATATTCCGGCTCCGGCATCAGTAAGCGGCACGCGAGGTAGCTAAGCAGGGAGATTAAAGCTCCCTCGCCGCCTGCAGGACCAGCCGGCCAGCCAGCAGCCCCACTTGCCCCAAGGAAAGGTGGAATCCCCTCAGCACTCCCGTGCGCGCGAGGGTGCTGAGCAGA